CATTTTCCTATAGCATCAATTTATTTGAGTCTTTTCTAAATAAGGAGGCCTATTTGGTTAGAAAGTGCCCAAGACTCAAGGAAGTTAGCATGGGACAGGACCACATAGCAAAAGGTCTTTTCACAGAGTGTCCCCTAATTCCCGTCACCAGCCTTCCCTACCCACTGTGTTTGTTTCAAGGGAATGGGCGACAGCCATCACCAGAATTAGAGCAACGTCTGGGCCGGCACTGTGGCGCAATAGTTTAATTCTCCACCTGCGGCGCTGGCATCCCATATGGGCACCGGTTCTAGTCCCTGCTGCTCTACTTCCAATCCAGCTCTCTGGGAAAGCAGCAGAAGATGGCCCAAGTGCTTGGGGCCCTGCACCCATGTGGGAGACCTGGAAGAAGCTCCTGGCTCCTGGCTTCGGATCGGCGCAGCTTTGGCCGTTGCGGCCATTTGGGGAGTGAACCAGCAGACGGAAGACCTTTCTGTCTGTCTCTCCCTCTCACTATCTGTAACTCTACCTCTCAAATAAATTAAAAATCCGTTGGAGGTGACACCTTCACACTCAGCGTCTCAGGTCAGCACTGAAGCGCATTCCCTTGAAGACAGGATCACTCAGGATCCAGAGTGGTTCTGACCATGGTCCTAGAAAACAGAGCCAGACCTGAAATGTCAAATACCCATTCATCCATGCCTCTGCTTCTGGTAGTGGGTTGAACTGTTCCACTTCTTTGCACACGTGTATTTAACTTCCCTTGCCCCAGATTTTTAGTTTTTTAAAGATTTCTTTATTTAACTGAAAGAGTTACACAGAGAGAGAAGGAGAGGCAGAGAGAGAGAGGTCTTCCATACGCTGGTTCACTCCCCAGATGGCCACAACTGCTGGAGTGGCGCCGATCCAAAGCCAGGAGCCAGGAGCTTCTGCTGGGTCTCCCACACGGTGCAGGGACCCAAAGACCTGGGCCATCTTCTGCTGTTTTCCCAGGCCATAGCAGAGAGCTGGATCAGAAGAGAGGCAGCCAGGACTCGAACCGGTGCCCATATGGGATGCCGGCACTGCAGGCAGTGGCTTTACCGGCTACACCACAGCGTGGGCTCCCCTAAGCGTAAGCTGTAGAAAATGATACCTGGGCCGGCCCGGCATCCCCTCCTGTCCAGCACTGTGTCTGCCGTGCTCCCAAGGACTCGCGGTCACAGAGCACAGCGCAAGGCCGTCCTGTGTGGTATTGACTTTGAAATGTAAATGCCTTCCAGACGAGTAACGTTTCTTCATAGGAACCAATTAGAGATGGAACGTCATTAAAATGACCTACACTGGGGGTTCTCAGTGCTGGCTTCACACTGGGATCCCAGGGGAAGGTTTAAAAACAGCTGATGCCTGGCTCCTGCTTTAGAGATGTGACTCTCCGTGGCCTGGACATGTGGACTGTTAGCCAGCCCGCACTCTCAGTGATTCTGTTAAAGCATCAGGAAAGGAAACTACTGATCTAAAGCCCCTTCTCCCTGGTACGTGTCAGTGCAAGTTCTTTCGGGTCGGAACGGCCTCGAATGTCAAGTTGCTGTGAAGACGCACATTCACACAGGTGTTGAAGGGGGAGGGTAACATCCATTTTGTAGGAAGCATCTTTGAGCAGACTCTTACGGTATGGAATTATGTTCTGTGGGCTGTGTTTTCACGTGGGTTGATCCAACCCACAAAACAAGCCAGTATTTTACAGTGAGCCGGACAGGCTAGGTGTCCCTCGCCTCTCAGCGTGCAGCAGACACAGCACTGCATTGCCAACCAGGAGCTCCAAGGGCCAGGCGACATGGAGCACTGAGGGCCTGAAATTCTCTGAGACTCCGTTTCTTAGTCCTTGAGGTGGGCCTGTGTGAGCCGAAGCACTTTGGCCAGCCATCTGCTTATGCACAAAACTGGCCCTTGTTCTCTGTGCAGTGTGTGTGTGTGTGTGTGTGTGTTAAATCTTAAAAGCACTTCCATCCAGCTTCTTGCAGTGTTGCATTGCTTCTCCAATCTGATTCCCTGGAACTTGATAATGACCGAGGGCATCCTATCCTAAGCACATTCCATACATCACGTGAGCCCCCCAGCTCTTAGTGAGGTCCCACCGCCCGACAGGGACTGAAACCCAGACAAGCCACCCCTGTGCCCCTGTGCTCGTTGTCCTCCACCGGATTACTGCCCTGTCACGTGAGTGCCCTGAGGCCAGGGATGGTGTCCTCCTTGTCTTTGTGTCGGAGAAGTCTAACGCTGTTTGCAGTAGGCACGCTCTGTTAAGCGGATAACCTGCCCATGTGTCCAGTCTCCATCCTTGCTTCCTGGTTTTCATATCAAATAATACAGAATACTTGGTTAGCTTTCTGGTAATACGCCTGTGTGATGTTTATATAGTAGTATGTTTATTTTTTGTTTTATTTTTAACAGTTCTTTTCCTTGAATTTTTTAAGTGAAGTACAATCATAGGGGCTAAACTTCCACACTTAGTAGAGAGAAATATTAAGATTACAAATTTTTTCTAGACCCTTCTTCTCTGTTTTCCAAACAGAAATAGAAAAATAAGGAAAGAAAAATATCAAACCAGAATACATTATTTAATCACACTCCTCCTTATCCAAAGCAGAGTGAAGGTAGCTTCTAAAGCAGATACACATAGCAAGGTAGAAAAAAAGAAAATGAAGCAAGGGGCTGGCCTTGCGGTGCAGCGGGTTAATCTGCCACTTACAATGCTGGCACACCACATTGGAGTGCTGGCTCGAGTCCTGGCCGCTCTGCTTCAAACTCAGCGCTCTGCGGAAGCACCTGGGAAGGCAGCCGATGATGGCCAAGCCTGCCACCCACACAGGAGCCCCAAGTGGAGTCCTGGCTCCTGGCTTCAGCCTGGCCCAGCCCTGAGATTTGGGGAATGAAGCAGAGAATGGGAGATCTCTTTGTTTCTCCCTCTCTGTCTGTGTCACTCTGCCTCTCAAATTAAAAAAAAAGGAATGCAGTGGGGCCAGGAATTAAGTTAGCTTATAGTGAGCCTGTGCTGGCTAAGGGAGGGTCACAGAGCTCAGAGCTTTCTAGAACAGAGTGCAGTGCTCCAGGAGCTACAAACAAGCCAAACTGCTCCTGATGCTGACTGATGGCGGGAGAAGCGTCTCCTGTGGGTCCCCTCTAATGCAATAAACAGCCCTCTAAACCCATCCTTCCGGTAAACACTGTGATGGATTTTATGGGGCCGTTTCTTATAATGCACCTCAATAAAGGTTGACGGCTCCTTACCAGAACCTAGTGCGATAAGAGGAGTTTCACACGGAACCCAGAAGACAAAGTCCAGGGCCGGCTTTATGGTGGTCTGGCTTAATCCAAGGATGGATTTAATAGTAACCAGGCTAAGGCACTTGGACATCAGAAAGCTCTGTGAGTGTCCGGGAAATTGAGGGATGTGTGTGCTGTAGGTGTGTTGTTGTTTCCTGGAGAGCTGGTAGCACCAGTAGCCTCCATCAAGTTCTCAGGGTCGAGAAATGGAAGCACTGTTCCCGCAGTCGAGCTGTGCGGAAGTTTTTAAGCAGTACTGAGATGAGGGTTGTGGTTCCCGCGAGGAAGAAGCCCTGCTGGCCAGTTCACTTGCAGGGCTGTGAGCTCCCCAGCAATCAGCTCTCCAAGCGTGGGATTGGTTTCAGTTTCTGAAAAGTAAGTTGTACAAGGACATCCATCAAGAGGTCCTGGCTGCGGGGCGAAGCCCTCCTAGAAAGAAGCTAGGCAGGTATTCATTCTAACATGGAGACAAAAATGGCAAGAATGCAAATTATGTGCAGTTTTTCTAAAATCAGCTCAAAAGACCAACACAGAGGAATGTTACACTTAAAAACAGTAGAACAGAAAAAAAAAAGGAGAAAAAAAAAACAACAGAAAAAATATTAAAGGCATAAATATTGGCTAACTTTGCTCCTAACCCTTAGTCGTTATTATTGCAGGTGTATCTTATGTTGGTTTTAAACTATTGCAGACTGGTGTGACCTCTTCCTTTTGATTCACCCTGAATCCGTGTTGGCAATAAAGGTCCTTCTAAAGCTGGCGGAAGCTTCTGGAAACCTCTACCTTGGACTTCAAGGGTCTTTTGACTTCTTACAGTGGATGGTTTTCTGTCCGCTGTGCCCAAGGGAGTGTAATCTGCCTTGTGAGGCTGTTTGGGATCATGAAAGGCCTCCAAGCTGACCAGGAAGGACATCCCTCTGTGTCTGCCCCATTCACAGAGGAGCAGGAATTGCAGGTGCACCCAAGATGAACGATACACACTCGTAGCACCGTCTTTTTCCTAGTGGATAGAAGAAAACTGAAAAAAAGTCTTCTCTCCAAAAGTAATCTCCAGCCTCTAGGTTGAGTGAAGCATTTGTTTTAAAGGTACGGCCTTTCCCTCAGCCTCCGAAATTGTCTTCAGCTACCACGAACTGCTTTGACAAGGCATCTTAGAACAACTTCCTTCCAGAACTTGTGTCTGTACTAGGTGAGGCATTTTAAAAGATAGACTTCAAATGGAAACCATCTGCTTTTAACAGTTAGCTCTCGGGTGCTTTCACCACGTGGTTATTAGAATATTCTACCCCAGAGTACAGAATTCCAACTTTTAAAAAAGTGGCCTCCTTCCTGATACTCCACAACCTACATTTCACTGGTGTCAGCCCTTGAAGACAACAGGTGGACAACAGGATAAATGTGTACAGAGTGCTGACCATAAAAAAGTCTAAATATTTCCCCAGTGTCATACACTATGTTCATCTTTCATGCTAGGCTAAACTAAGTCCTAGCACCATTTTGTAATACCAGTTTAGAGATTAATATCTGAGAGAAATTAGAAATGTTTCTCCTTTTTATGTTTCTTTTTTAAAATCATTTTAGAAACTACACTACAATGTAACTGATGTCTCACATTTTCTCTTTTTAAAAATGCATAGCTCTAAGCTCTTTTTAAGTTGAGATATCATAGTAGTAAAACAAACAGGAGTTCATCAGAACAATCTTAATTTTGTTTAAAGATGTATTTATTTATTTAAAAGATGGAGTTACAGGGAGGAAGAGGCAGAGTCAGCAAGAAAGAGGTCTTCCATCCACTGGTTCACTCTTCAAATGGCTGTGATGGCGAGGTCTGGGCGAGACTGAAGCCAGGAGCCAGGAGTTTCCTCTGGGTCTCCCACGTGGGTGCAGGGTCCATCTTCCACTGCTTTTCCCTGTATTAGCAGGGACCTGGATTAGAAGTGAAGCAGCCAGGGCTCAAACCAGCACTTGGGACTCAAACCAGCACCCATATGGGATGTTGGCGCTGCAGCTGGCTTATTAACCCAATACACCACAGCACCAGCCCAGAACAATGTTTATCTTACAAGCTCTCCTCCACCTAAGTTTCATGTTCCATTGTTCCGTTTTTTCCTTTTTCTTTCTGTTCACTTGCTTAATATATTTACTGAGCATCTACTAAATGCCAACGCAGCGTTTTTAGTAATTGGAAGTCTAGAACAAAAGAGAATTTCTTTATTCCGGGCAGATAGACACTCAATAAATTAATGAAAAATATCTATAATAACCGTGTAACACAAAGAGTGAGCCGTAAGGCCAACTATGGACCTTAATCAATAATCATTGATCAATATGATTTCTTCAATTGCAATGAATGCAACACGTTAATGCAAGATAGGGAAACTGTGTGTGTGTGTGTGTGTGTGTGTGTGTTGTTTTGAGGGGGTGAGTTATGGGAACCCTGTGCTTTCTTTTCCATTTCTCTGTAAAACTGCTCTAAAAAATAACAGTCACTTAATTAAAAATTAAACAGAAGTAATAGGACACTGTGAGAGGGAAGTGGTATGATGTAATTTGCACTGGGAAGTGAGGAAAGACCTTTCTAGAAAGTGTTGTTTAAGCACAGAACTGGAGGCCAGGTAGGCACTAACCTGGCAAGGAAGAGAAGGGAGGCGCCCTCAGCACAGCCCAGCGCTAGGACTTCAAGCACCTTTGGAAATACCACGCTGGCCCCTCTGTGGAAGATGGATTATGGAGCCGTGGGGCGAGGAGAGGAGCACGGGTACACATTAAGAGGCACTTTGGCCAGACCGCAGCTTCTGCTTCCCGCTCACCCGTGGACCAGGAGAGCTGAGGGACAGCACTGAGATGTAGCCTTTGTTCAGTTTATGTGGGGAACCATTAGGCTCTCCCTGAGCCGGGTGCCAGTACGAAAGGAAGACTGTCAGGGGCCGCCAGACTGGCAGTCCTGCCCTCAGTTCCCGAGGTGCTTCCACTGGCTCAGTGGGATTTACAGAATTAAGAACAGTCCTGTATGCGTGCCATTCAGACTACAACCAGGCAAACATTACAAAGGGAAAAGGAAGCCCTCAAGTACTGATCACCTCCCTGTAACAACAGCTTTTCATACAAGTCTGCATAAGACTTGATTTGCAATACTTACTTTTATTCCTGGGACTGGGTCGTTGCACTTGATCTTGACTTTTCTTCCTTCTAAGACAGTATATTGAAAAATTGTTGGGATGTCAACGAAGCATACCCTCAAGGAAGGTCCCTTTAAGCTGGACACTGTTCAGCTCATCAGTATTGAACGCTTCGTATCAGAGTTCCTGGGGCGGTGAGCTCCTGAGGAAGACATTCCAGTGGGTCAAAGGGAGGCGGCTGCCAAGACAGATTTCTATTGATTCTGGACCTGTTATTTGTAGCATAGAAGCTTGGACAGTCAAAGTTCTCTTTCCACTTAAAAAACCAAGCAGCTCTGCATCATCCACTTTACCATTTGTAGTTGTTCACCTGCCTGTGTGTATGCGCAAGCAAGATTCTCAAAGCATTAACTATTTTATGCATTGCTTTTACAGTAGGAAAATGATATACAATGGCTGTGAAATACACATAAAATTTGCAAGTAGGCTGAAAAAAATCTTTAGCAAATGAGCATGCATTTCCTAGCACTTAGCTAATAATAATACAAAAAACGGTTAATATATCTATTTGTATTCTTCTCTACAGCCAGAATCTTTTTCTGTTCCTGCAAACACAAACACTAAGTGAGAACCCCGCATTTGCGCAGTCCCGTTGTTTATTTAGTAGGAGACAGCCATGCATCATCAATATAATTTTAAGTGGTCGAGTTATGAATATGGAACGAGGGGATAAAATAAAGTTTTCCACTCTGATGTCTCCATTAAGAAGCTCGTCTTTGTGTAAAATGCTCCATGGCAAAGTTGATTCTATTTAAAGTAGTGAGTTTGATCTTGGCTTTGATCTAAACCTTTTGATCTTGAAAGAAAGATGGAGTAGCAATAAAGAGAGGGCAGGACAGATTTTCTTTAAAGAAATGCGATAAAGTTAAAGGGATGGTCAAGATCACCGAACACAAGTACCACCCGACCCTCACCAGCAAGCTAGCTCCACCACCTTGCGATGCCCAGGGGAAGGTGGCGGCCAGACCCAGGGTACCGCAACCCTCTTGTAAACCTAGTGGACACTTTCTCCCTAATCACGAACACAGATCGCCTCCTTCTTAATTCCACCCCGCCGCTTTGGGGGTCCGCGCCGACCTGGCCCAGCGCCGCCGGCGGAGCGCGGCCGGAGCGCAGCGGCTGCTGCCCGCGCAGCGTGGGGCCGGCTCTCCTGCGCTCCCGGCCTCTCCCCGGGGGAGGTCACCTGCCACCGCCCCGGGGCCCGGAGGGGCCCCTCAAAGCCGTCTACTTAATGGCGTCTGAGCCATTCCCGGAGAGCACTCCATTAGCGAAGTTCCTTGGCCTCGGCGAAAGCCACCGGGGCCACTTAAGTTTCTGACCCGCAGAGCGAGTTCAGGGTGGCCGTGGGGCTGGGGGCGCTTCGCCAGCAAAGTCCTCTGGCTGCGGGCAGGAGGCACCCGGGCTCCTCCCGCAGCCTAGGGACCCCAGTCTCGCGTACCCGGGTTTGGGGGGTACCCGGGGCGGGGGTGGGGCGATAAGGCGTGTGCGCCGGGGGAGGGGGCGCGGGCAGGATCTGGGGAGAGAGGGGAAGATGTTTGCAAAGAGAACAATGAAACAGCCGGGCTGGGGGCTGGGGCGGGGGCGACCTGAGGGGAGGGCGGCGCGGCCGCCTATACCTTTAAGGCAGGCCCCGCCTCCGCCCCTGCGCCCGCCCGCCCGCGCCACCGCCCCGCGCCCCGCGCTGCCCGCGCTGCGCCTTAGGTGTTGCGGGCCGGAGCACCCGCTGCTCTCTGTCCGGCTGGCGGGGCGCGGGGCGCGGGTGCCGCCGCCTCCCTCCATCCTCACCTGCCGCGGCCGAGGTACCGGGCGGGCGCGCGGAGTTGGTGGATGCGGGGGAGGGAGGCTGAGGCGGCACCGGGGAGGATAAACTTGACTCTTGTCGTCTGCTTCTCCCGCAGCAGCTGCAGAGGGAGCGTCAGGCCGGGGCGGAATGCGGGCTCGCGCGGCAAGTGGGCGCCGAGGTGAGTTGCGGGGCTGCGCGGCCCTCCCCTCCCAGACGCGCGGGCGGTGGGTTCCGCGCCGCAGCCACGTCCCCCGCGCGCGCGGCACCGCCGCCGCCGACGCGCGACAGCGGCGGGTAAGATGGCCCTTGCGCACGGCTCGGGCGCGCACGGGCGCGGACCGGGCCCTGGACCGGCGGGGGCGGCCCGGGGCGAAGGTCGCTCGGCCCGAGCGCCCCGCAGACCCGAGGCGGCGGGAGCGGTGCGCAGAGCGGTCGCCCCCCGAGGGTCCCCTGCGCGGAGGCGTCCCCGCGAGCGGGCGGAGGTGCCTGTGGCTCGCTCAGGTGAAGCGGGGAAGACGGGGTCGCCCAGGGGGGCGGCGGTCAGGACCCTGTCGGACGGTTTAAAACGCGCTGTGGTGTGTTTTTTGAACTTCAGGTCTCCAAATGGATTCAGGTGAACCGGAGACCCCGAAAACGGAAGCGAGGGGAGCGCGCTGTGGTGTTTGAGAAGGTAGGGTCCCCAGCGGGGAGCGCGAGAGAGCGAGCCTTGGGTTGCGGGGTCCCCCCGAGGACTGGATCACTGCCATAGAGTGGCCTTTTTTGTTTGTTTGTTTGTTTTTTTTTGAGTTTTTATTAAACTTGACAATAAGCCGTGCCATCTGCCCGCGGTTCTCGCGAAGTCGGAGTGGCCGGATGGAGGAGGCTTGGATGCTCTCAGGAGCGCAGGACCTGAGCAGGTCCCCGAGGCTGCTGGTGTTAGCACTCCACCGCTGGAAGAGGAGTGTGCTTGCTCCGCTCCGCTGGTGACAGGCGCCCTTGGCGCCCCCGCACCTAGACATGAAATTGGGGAGAGGAAAACTGGCGGGTGACTTTGAAAACACCAGGAGAGTTTTTCTGTGTATCCTAAAGCAAATGAGAACCCCCACCCCCAATCCTCCATGTAGAATTTCAGTATGTTCCTTTGCAGAGGTTGGTTCTGTGTATCTTCTCCCAAGATTGTATTAAGAGGTGATTTGTCACTCTGATAAATATGGTGAAATAAGGTAAGTAGTCTGTTTTCTAGAAGACTGGCAAACTCTCAAAAGAGAGCTTTTTTTTTTTTTTTTTTACCACCGTTCCAGCAGATCTGATTTTTGTTGCTTTTGCATGATTCTGTCGGATTCTTGATCGCACCCGGGGATTAAAATAGCGGTGTGTTGTTTTTCTGCTGCCCGAGTGTATGATGAATCACGCCCGGCTCTGAAGCCAAATTCTTGCTGATAGCATCGCTGCCAAGTCCTGTGATGTGTTGCCTTAGTATGGGCATTGCAGTGGCCCAGGGTGCCCCGAGCATATCGGGATGAAGGTGGTTCCAAAGTCTCAGAGGGCAGTTAAGGATACCAACAGGGCAGCTCTGCTGAGAGCCGGGAATGGGCTGACCAGCCTGGCAGCGGACACTCAGTGTGTGGGGAAAGTGGTCCCCCGGCTCTTCCCTTTGAGTGTAAGTAACTTCAGCTACACGGTAACGGAAAAAGCCGTCCCTTTAAACAGACTTGAGTTTTGGGACCCTACCTTAGCATGCCTGTGGTAGGGTGTGTGTGTGTGTGTGTGTGTGTGTGTGTGTTTAACGCTTATGGTTTAGGCACTTCTGAAAATGTTTTTGAGATGGTGAATGAGACCATAAAATATTCAAAGAAAGAAGGGATTCCTGTCTTCTGTAGTATTTAAAACAAGGTTTGGTAGCTGCTGTTTTTTTTTTTTTTTTTAACTAAAAATAAGATCACCAAGGGCACAATCTACCAGTACCCTTGTGGACTGCCGTCACTGCCCAGATCTGACCCAGAGGCAAGATCTCTGTGACACCCTTGATCTGAGTGACCACAGCGCCTTCTGAGAGCTGGGGACACGGGCGCAGGGGCGGGGGAGGGGGGTTTACCTGAGGAGAATGAAAGTTCTTCACGCAGCAGTTTCTCCTCCACGGAGGCTGCGGTGCACCTCTGACTTCTGTCCGGACAGAAAACGTGGGCAGCCGCCCTTGTCAAGAGAACGCGACCGTGGAGTCAGTTGGGACCAACATTTGCTATCGAGGGGAAGCTTAGAACTGACTGGGTTTGAGGGTGGAGTGGGAGGAGCACAAGAAAATGGGAAATTCCTGAGTCGTATCAGGGCACGGTAATTATTGGGGGCCCCAGCATTTTCTCCTGGCCCTGGGCAGCACCACTGAGCCCTTACCCTGCTGTTTTCCTCTGGGCATCCCCCCCCCAGGAGAGGTTTGGAGCTGACTGAGGCAAAGCCTGGGGTATTTCAGCACCCCAGGGCGTTAGAGCAGAGGCACCAGGCTGCCCATTTCCCTTAGGTGGTGGGGAGCTGTGTCCCCTCTTCCGAGACACAGAGTGGACCCGGTGGTAATGAGTATTCAGTCCAAGGTCACGTGGTCATAACCTTTTTGCTAGGATTTGAACCTGTTGTTAGTAGAAACCTAGGCAGTCCATTTACTGAGTCTGAAAGTTATTTATTTATTTTGCTTAAATTCCTGCCGTGCCACAGTGGTAGAAGGAAACTGGCTTCTCGTTTTTCACACATGCACTGTATTTTTCGTCTGCATTACAATTAGCGGTGTTTTGTGCTTTCTCCCCACGTGGGTGCAATAAGCTGTAGCCCTCTCCGGTGGGTGCCCCCTGCTCCTCGCACCCTTGTTTCTTTGCCTACTTAGTGCTCCACGCCCACCACCTCTGTCCACACCTGCCAGCCTTCCTCGGGATTCAGCCGAGATGGCGGACGTGGGTTAAGTGGCGCGTGTCAGCCCTGCGGGGGTCATGAGAGGTTTCCCCGGACTGGAGGGTGCAGGGAAGCAGAAGCTGGGGCAGACTCGGCTGCGTGGGGCAGATGGCACAGCTGTGCAGGGCGGCTGGGGCACTGAGCGAGGGGCCGGCTGTGAGGCAGGTCGGCTCGCAGGTGTTCGCCTTCCGTGTTGGAGAAAGCCTCCATGGAGCTAGGTGGAAGGCACAGCACAGGCAGCCTGAAAGGCCAGCCAGGTTTTCAGTGAACTCGGACGGGGAAGCAAAAACAAACACCCTGTGCTCGGCTGCCTGTTAAAATAATGAATAATGAAATGCAGTAAATGGGGTGAGTGAGATGTTACCACCCAGATAAGCGACTGGAAACGCTCTCCTGGCCTCTCGCGGCCCCTCCTGCCTGCTGCTTTGCGTCATTCCACCCGCCAGAGAGCTGTGCTGTCCACGTGTCTTAGCAACTTCTCATTTCTCACCTTTCTAAAGATGTGCCGTTCTCTCTGACACATCTCCTCTTATCTGCTTTCACGTTCTTTTCCATTGTGTTTTGGCCATCTCTCTACAAATATAATTGGATTTTTTGATGTGTGTGCATACATTATACGTATACACGTATCTCCCCCACTTGAAATGACAAAACTCGCTTAGCTTCTCTTTTGCTTCTGGTCTTCTTCTCCTTCCTTTCTGGTATCTGTCTTCCTTTTTCATTGTTTTAACTTCCTTTTATCTGGTTCGAGTCACTTTTGCAACAGAAAACGTGAGTAAGTGCACCAGGAACGACGGCACTGAGTGGGTCAGCCGGCTGTGCAGGCGCAGGTTAAACATCTGTGCCTGCAGCAGTGGACTAGAGAGCGTGTTTTTTAAGATAATATGTTTTACTGAGTGACTGTGGGTTGCAGAAGACAGAACACTGCTTTCCCTGTTCATGCCTTCAGCTGATTCAAAGGTAAATACAAGGTAGGCATAGTGAGAAATTAAAAAATAATATTTTTATAAATGCATACATTTAAAATTATGTAAAGCTTTAGTACTTCTGTTAGTCTAAAGATTAGAACATAATAAAGTAACATTTTACAGAATTTTCAGGAAAGCACGTGGATGGGATATTCCTTTAAGAGGGAGAAGATTTTAGTTCTAGATTCAATAGGAGAGGCTTTGCTGGTTCACGCCTATCTGATAATGTGCAGAGGGTCGTCAGTAAATGCAGATACGTGTGGATATGTATCAGAAGTGTTATCGGCTTCGCTTTCCGAACACCGAACATTTCAGCAGTACTAAGGTTGGCTGTGGTTAACCAGCGGCTCCCGCCGTGCTCTGGTGCATCTGGGACTGCATGGTCATGGCCTGGGTGAGCTTGGTCAGCCTCTTGGTATTACTCCCGACAAACACGAGCTGCACACAGCTCCTGGGAACAGCACCCTCTAAGGCTACCATCGTCGTCACTTTCTGCCAGAATCCGAAAAACTATGCCCTCAAACCACTAGGTACTCACACCGTTGAAAATTTGAAATTTTCCCTGAAATGTAGAAATCTAGCAAGATAGTTTTGAGCACGGTGGCCTCTCCCGTATTTAGTGTCCGTTTTAACGGAGCCAAGTGATCAATTCTGTTCACTGAGTCTTTGAGAAAACTGGGATGATTTTCTTTGCAATAATTCCTAGATCCTGGAACAGTTTTACTTCCCTGTTACTTGGTTTTTCCTACATACTTGACTCTGAACCACATCGATGATAATCTTAGCTTGATTTAATAACTCCTAGATCATATTCTAGATTGTAAAATCTGACTTGGTTTTGCAGCATTCATTTTTTTCCTTTGTTCCTATACTATAAGATAACCACTGACATGTTCAGTATGACCAAGGTAGGTGAAAATGTTAAACTGCTTCACAAAGACTTGACTTCTGTGTCTGTCTCTTGTGACCAAGGCCTGTTTCACATGCAGTTTTTGATTTTTGGAAACCACTGAGACTTAACAAAAATTCGCTGGCTCTTCCTTAGCTCCTCACAGCAGAGGGTGACTGTGTTCGGCTTAACTCTGAAGCGATCCCGATGGCTTCACACAGCTCGGCACCTCGGTGGAGTGTGGAGCTAGGGAGGCCGTGCCAGGAGTCCTCTCTTACAGGAACGCCCCTGTGATCGGCCACATGGTAGACTGGGTGGCCCCTCTGGGGCTGCTGGGTGTTGGTGGCCTTGCAGCTTCTTGGGTGGGCGTTGCCCTGGGAGGGTGGACAGCTAGCCTGTATTTGTGGAGCCCTCTGATGAGGGCTCCCCTAATGCTGGATTTCCATAGAAATGTGTCACAGCTCTTGAGGCCCCCAGCCTCCCTCTCCCTGGCTGAGTGGCTTTGTGTCCTGTGTAGTACTGATTGTGCCTTTGGATGACGACTTACTTGAGTGATGGGGCGGGGAGGCGGAATAATTTATTCCAAGTAATTATAAAGAAACCAAAGAAAGGGAGTAATTACAGTGCTGTTAATATGCAATTTGTTATTTTACTGCGGAAATATTTGGAACTTCTGGGAGTGTCTTGGGCTTATTTGTGGATCTCTTCCTTTTTTCTAGTAAATCCCTAACAAATACATAATTTATTAAGTTCTGTTCTCCCAAGTCTGAAATTAGATCAGTTTTCACAGGATCTCAACTTTTTGTTGCTGTCCCCTCCCCCAGCCCACTCCCTTCAATGGACTGAGTAAGAATTGTCAATAAAAGATACCTTCAGTAGCCTCAGAAAGTCTGATCT